TTTGATTTATTAATTCAGATAAATATGGTTGATAATCAATTGTATTAGCATCGATGATACCAATTAAAGCATAAAGACATCCATTAAGAACAAAAAGACCTTTCGTTGCTGATTCTAATGGATATTCTTCAAGCCAAACAAAACGATTGTTAAAATAAGCTCGAGTCAGATTTGATGACCATAAAGGTTGAATAGCTCGACGAATAGCTAACAAATGTTCCTTATTATTTGTTAGTGAATATAGACGAACGAGTAATGATGCAGCTTGACCTAAATTTAGAAGAAAAATAGTAGTTAATAATTTTTTTATACCAACAAAATTAACCTTGTGCCATTGCTGAACACCATGGATTTCGTAAATGATAGTGAGTATGATGAGCATAGTTTCGTTGAACATGAATAAACCAACAACCTGTTTGTAAATCTTGATTATTTAATAACCATCGTGTTGCTGAATAAAAAGCTTGTTGATCATACAAAGTTTGATTACCAATAATTAATTGATCAACACTAGATTGTGTATCACCACAAATTTGAATTTTGATGAAATCATGTCTGAAAAAAGGTGTTTTTTGCATGAGTTTTTCTATGTCAATTAGCATATATCGATTGACTTGACGAGGAGAACCCTTAAGTTGAATAATTTTCTTTGTTAAAGTTTCTAAATCATGAATTGTTTTCGTTGAACAAACAAGTTCAATATTATTATTGAAAAAATGGAAATGTAATGAAGAATTTGATGAAATTGTAAAATGAATATATGTATTCGAAAGCAATATTTCATCTTTCATTCTATGCCATGATGAACAATAATTATTTTCCTCTAAATAAAGATACTAGTACATTTCAAATATAAAGTCATAAAACCTCACTTGGGTGTAGTCGTTCGAATTTATATATTTTATTTTGTTGTTTTTTTGAATTCAGTTCTAATCGACTCCAATGACTTAAGCCATATTGAGCAATTTGTATTGGATAAAGATGTCCATCCGATTGCCATTGAGATGAAACAGGTATATCTAGAAATTGTAGTCAAAACTTTGATTGATACTGCATGCGAGAACCTACCATATAAAAAATCGATATATAATACTCGATTACGTTGTTCAACATTGAAATAAGCAAAATTAAGATATGATCCACGAGAATTATATGTAAAAGATGATGAAAGTATACGATAAGTGTAGTTTTGATAATGAATG